GGACCGTTCGCGGCCAGACTGTGAGGATGTCTCGAGCAGTTTGCTCGCTTGCTTGATTGGACGTCGCTGCTTTCAGGGCAGACTGCAAGGATGCCTCGAGCCAGGCGCTGGTTGCAGCACCCCACGCCAAGGAGGGGCCGCCGAGGGGCACTTCACGGGCCCGTTCGCGGCCAGACCGTGGGGATGCCTCGAGCGGTTTGCTTGCTTGCTTGGTTGCGTGGACGTCTACGCTGTCCGCGTGTGCCGAGAAGGTGTCTCGAGCGAGGCGCCAGCTCCAGCACCCCAGCGTGGAGCCGCTGGGGGTTAGGACGCCCGGCCGCTCGCGCCCAGACTGTGTGGATGCCTCCGGCGGTTGACTTGTCTGGTGGCCCGGACTCCTCTGCTTCTCGTGGAGGCCAAGGTGCCGTGTTGTGCGAGGACCAGAGCAGGTCGTGAGGATGTCCCGAGCGAGGCGCTGGGAGGACGGGGAGGGGGAGGAAGAAGAGGGAGTTCTCATGCTCCGCCTCCCCTACTTCATCGTCCTCACACCCCTCCTCCTCGTTCTCTTCTCATTATCATCCCCCCATCTCCTCCTCCTCCTTCCCACCTTCCTCCTCTTTTTCTTCTTCTCCTTATTATTCTTCTTATTCCTCTTCTTACTCTTCTTCCTCCTCCTCACTCCCCTACTCACGCCTCTCCACCCCGTCAGATTTCTCTTTCCTCTCCTCCTTGCTCCTTCAGCGAACTTCGAGGTTGCTCCGAGCGAAGCGCTGGCTTCAACCCAACAAGGGGGAGGCGCCAGTACAGATACACACCCAGATACTTACAGACAGTCGCTCCCAGCGAGACGTGCCGGGAAACTGAGATATACATAAAGGGATCTCCACATCGAGTACTTTAAACATCTCAGCGCGCTGAGACCCTCTCGGGGTGCCAACGGGCTCTGTCGAGGCCCTCTTCCGTGCCGGGGGCCTCTTCTGGGTCTCTTAGGGGGACGCTTGGGGCGCTCTCGGAAGCACCACAATCGTCTTGATGCTCTCGTCGGTGATCTTTGGGGCCGCCTTGGGCTGTGTTCGGCGGTCCTTAATCCGTTTTGGGCCGTCTTGGAGCAGGGCATCTGGCAAGCATGCTGGGCCAAACATCGGAATAACTGAACTTGATCGACATCGAGGATCTGTTTGACGACTTTGGCGGTCTGCCCCTCCCCCCCCGTTGAGCGACTCTTAACTCGCTTTCGCAGTGCAAACATTTGAGCAGAAGGAGGACACATGCAGGGGGGGGGATGGCCCAGGCATCGCGTCAAGCAACCTCGTGTCCAACAAGCGGGAACGACATACTGTAGGCACGGTGGCGGATACCTGTATGACTGCCCATTGCACTTGGGCGCCTTCTCTGGTTGCCCCTCCCTCAGGCTTTGAACCCTCCCTCCAACGCGGCATCGATTGGATCAGCATGGCAGATGGCAGTTTGAACGCAGCTGTAGCCGCAGAGTGGACTGCTGAGTTCGAACAATGCCATCCTTCACAGGATGGTAAGGACGCGTGCAGCAGTACGAATTCGATTCGCCCCTGGATGACCTGCCCACCGAGGGCCTTGGGTGGGATACTTAACTTCACTACCTCGACACAGCCTTCTGTGGCAGGTCCTGAGCGCCGTGCAGATACAGTGCTGCCTGCTGCAGCAAGACAGCCGACGAATCATGAGCCAGTCAGCCACCTGACTCGTAATTGTAGCCAAGGCGTGGGCAACGGATGTCTGGTATATTGGGAACATTCCCCTCCCACCCCCCGATGGAAGTAGGCCCGGTGGGTGTACACTATCCACGCATCACCGGCGCGGCTTGAAGTTGAAGTTGTCAGGCATACCAGATGTGAGGCTGCCTGTTGAGTGGAAGAAGTGGTTCTCTGATGTTGGCAGTTGCCTGGCTTGGCGGCGAGTCCTCATGCGCCGAGTGGCAGGCCAGCAAACGCTAAACGGCGAAGAAGGAACGCCGGAATAATGATGCTATCACGGCGGACGGGAGGGCAGGGAGCGCGCCGCTTCTACCAGTCCCGATGGAGCACGCGCACCGCACCCACGCTCGCTTTAGAGGGAGGGAGGCGGCTTCCAGTTTCCGGGACAACGCACATGCTCCAAGGTCGCAAGACACAAGCTCGCCGAGGAGACATGCTCGGTTGGATAGCTCTGCTTGCGATGTCAGAACATTAAGGCTGCCGTGTCTGCAGTAATTGAATTTCCTGAGACTGCGGCACGCATCTCAGAAAGTGCTTCCTCGAGCGGCTTTCAAGGAGCCGCTAAGCCTCGCGAGACAATGCCGCACGCCTCACGATGATGCCGGAGCGTCAGGCCAAAGGCTCGCTTCAGCCGCTCATCAAAGCATGAACCGAGGGGTAAAAGGCCACACCTGCTGTCGTCATGCATGGCTGAAGCCGCGGGCCCTCGATGGCGCCGCGCCGTCATGCCAAGGACTCGCTTCAGCCGTTCCCTGAAGCAGCAGCTGAGGGTAAACTCCCCCTCCTGCTGCCACCATCCGTGGCTGAAGCCGCGGGGCCCGCGATGGCGCCACGCCGCCAGGCCGATTGCTCGCCTTCGGCCGGTCACCAAAGCAGCAGCCGAGGTGCCGCAATCTTCCACGCCTGCCGTCCCCATCCATAGCCACAGCCGTGGCACCAGCCGACGCGCTGCTGAAACCAGGCGCTCCCGGCTGGAGGACTGCTCGCCGAGGAGGGCGCCCAGGGCGCGCCTCCCCGGGGCGCTGGGCGGCTCGAACGCGCTGGGCCTGGGCGATCGACTGGGCCATCGGCCCATGCCCTCCCCGATACAATTCAGGGGCCCTGAGACACACAAATAAATACACACAAATAAAAAGGATTCTCCTATATTTTCCTGTATTTTTTTTTTGTTTTGTCTTCCCCCCCCCACTTCCCACATTTTCCAATATTTTCTGGGGGATCGACGATTAATTGTGTCTGTGTGTGATTTTGTTGCCCTCCCCGATACAAGGCGACGCCGTCCTGCGCGGCGTGGGCCCTGAAGGGGCACGCCTCCACGGTGCCCACCACCCAGGGGACTTCCAGCGTAGGTTTCCCGCGGTCTCCGCACACCTTCGAGCACACGCCGGTCGGAAGAAGTGGGTTGAAACATGAAGTAGGAAGGCGTTGGAAATAGATTGGGCTTCCACCCGCCCCCTAAAGAGGAGGAAAGAAGGAAAACCGCTCGACTCTTGAAGGAAGGCACCTAAAGCAGATTAGGATTTGGGCATCCAAGAATACCTTTTCAACGACCGGCTTGTAGTCTTTGTTGCCGCCACTCCGTCCTCAGGAGATGCTCCTCGGTGGACTTCGGCTCGGGTGTGTTCCGCAAGCAGTCGAGACCACCAGGTCCATCCCAGCCGATGCACTTGCCGACAGATCCAGTAGCGATGTTCCTCTCCGCGGGGCGCACTTCGCGTATGCCCACGCACAGGCGCTCAACGTGCGGAAGGTTCAATCTTTTCCAGCAGGCGGGCGATGGGCCAGGTGACTCCAGGGGTCGACCTGCCCTGGCCACGATCAGCAGCTTCGTCGTCATCTGGAGTGCAGACATCCATATCGACAGCCTCATGGGTAGTGTTTGGAAAATCGGTGCCGCAACGACTTAACTTGATCGGGTCGATGATGTCCGACTCGATCGCCTCCTTAATTCATCCCTGCAAGATCATGAAATCGAACATCGCGGAGGACGGAATTCGTTTCATATCGACATGCTCCGCGAAGTGTTTAGACATCGCTGGAAACGAGCAAGAGCAACGAGGCGCTGCCAGTGAGCTGTGGGTACTGCCTTGAGTTAGGCGGCTTGGGCCAGAATGGCCTAAGCCCACATGGCTTTAGCTTAACTGGCTATGGAGCTTATTGGAGCGACTGTTCGAGCCTTTTGAGGGAATCTCGGACAAAAAATCTAACAATATCATGGAGTTCTGTTAGGCCGTCCCGCAAACCTCCTGGAAACCTCTTGGGCTGCCTTTTGTGTCAGAAATCCCCGAGAATGCGTGTGTTCGGAAACCCGCGTGTCTTGACTGTCTTGAGCTTGCATCCGCCGAAGAATCGTCTTGCGCCTCCCGTCGCACGGAAGGTTCACACCCCCAGGTCCTGTAGCCCTCACGGAATACAGTCGGACTCAAGCCAGAATAACATCCCTCAAAAACATGAGACCCTCTGCCGGACAAAGGAAACGGAACATCCAAGGATACCTTCCCCAGGATGCACAGGAACATCCAACAACAACGGAGAACACTAGTGTACCCTCCCCGACTGGACCTCGACCTTATACCTCGGTCGGACCGTCTCTGGGTGCATTCTGAATGCACGAAGATGGCAAGGCGAGGCCCCACGATTCGAGAGGGCACAAGCACTGGATGCTCAAATACCCCCCAGAGATGCCCACCCTCCGCCTCCTCTTCCTCCTCCTCCTCCGCCTCCTCCTCCTCCTTCTCCTCCTCCTCCTCCGCCATCTCCTCCTCCTCCTCCTCCTCGTCCTCCTCTCGTCCTCCTACTCGTCCTCCTCTTCCTCCTCCTCCTCCTCCTCCTCCTCCTCCTCTCCTCCTTCCTCCTCTACTCCTTCTCTCCCTCCTCCCCTCCTCCTCCTCCTCCCTCCTCCTCCTCCCCCTCCGCTCGCCTCCTCCTCCCTCCTCCTCCTCTCCTCTCCCTCCTCCTCCCCTCCTCCTCCTCCTCCTCCTCCTCCTCCTCCTCCGCCTCCTCCTCCTCCTCCTACTCCCGCCTCCTCCTTCACCCCCTCCCCCTCCTCCTCCTCCTCCTCCCTCCTCCTCCTCCTCCTTCTCCTCCTCCTCCTCCCCCTCCGCCTCCGCCTCCTCCTCTCCTTCTTCCTCCTCCTTCTCCCCTCTCTCTCCTCCTCCTCCTCCTCCTCCTCCCTCCTCCTCTCATCCTCCTCCTCCTCCTCCCCCTCCGCCTCGTCCTCCTCTCCTCTCTCCTCCTTCTCCTCCTCCTCCTCCTCCTCCTCCTCCTCCTCCTCCTCCTCCTCCTCCTCTTCCTCGGTCGGCCGGCCGGTCGTACGGCAGGAATGTCGAAGCCGAAATGGAGAGAGAAGAGGCGGGAAGACCACTGAGTGAAGAACGAAGCAGAGCAGAGGCAACAGCAGGTCAAGGGATGAACAAGCTGAGGCCGCGCCACAAGGCGCATACACCACAGATGCGGGAGCGTGCCTGAGTTAGTACCTTTTAAAGTGGGTGAACACTAAGAGCGGTGCAAGGGGGGACAAAGACAAATAGGTGAAGCATAGCCTTGGCTGCAGGCAAGTGCAGGCACTGTTGAGGAGCCAACGCGTCAGCAGGAAGCTGCTGACACCTCAGAGCTACTATCTTTTAAACCGTGGGTGTACACGTGAGGAGACTTATAGTCCCGTCGCTACATTCACACTGAGGCCCTTCCCCTTGCACCCGCTCCAGCCTGAGCAACAATCCATGGGGACTGAGAGGAGACGTGAGAATTTAGGAGTGCACGGTCCTCGCTAACATAACACACACCGCTTACAGAGAACCGTTGTGGTTGTGTAGCGCACAGTCCATGGAATGTGTCGCAATAAGCAATGGGTCACTAGGAACGTAATACCGACGCAGGCCCACTGGTAGCTCCCAATCGTCCCTGGATGCTTCCAAATCAATCGAGGCACGCGGCGCCGCCTCGCGGGAGGCAGACCAACTCAGAGGGACGGGGGCACCAGGAACTAATGGGGCACCAGCTGGGCTTGGGACGGTAAAGGAGGGGCCAGGAACTATGTAAGGATACTTGGCCCTCACATCTTGCAGCATGGCTGATGCCAATAACAAACAGAGTTCCACGGGAGAAGCCTTGGCCAAGGCCGTGCCCCATGTGTTATCAGCACCGAGCCCTCCCAGGGCTCTATGGGGGGTAAGATGATTGCATGTGGGCCCCCCAAAACTGCATCTAATCTTTGCTGCATCGCAGGAAGGTGTACTGTGTACAAGACCGTTGGCTTGACCACTGATGCCCCGAACCGACATTGGTCGATGCGGTGGGCGACTACCCCTTCTTTAGCCTCGAGAGCCCGCACTTCTGGCAGCAGCCAAACACTGGGACACTCCTCCTCCTCCTCCTCCTCCTCCTCCTCCTCCTCCTCCTCCTCCTCCTCCTCCTCCTCCTCCTCCTCCTCCTCCTCCGCCTCCGCCTCCGCCTCCGCCTCCGCCTCCGCCTCCGCCTCCTCCTCCGCCTCCTCCTCCTCCCTCCTCCCCTCCTCCTCCTCTCCCCTCTCCTCCCTCCTCCTCCTCCTCCTCCTCCTCCTCCTCCTCCTCCTCCTCCTCCTCCTCCTCCTCCTCGAGGGGGGTTCTTCATGGCTTCCCTCGGTTTTCCGAGCAGAATCTCCAGGTGGCCCCAGACAGCCCAAAGGCGTTGCAGAGGCAGCTGCCGCCGAGCCACGAAACCAACCAAGCGAGCGGGCCGGAGGGCAGAACGGGGGGCAGCGCCCCCGGCCTCTCGAAGGTCGGCGAGGAGGCCCTTCCTTGAGCGCCCCAGATCTCTCCACGGGCCCATCTACGCCACGAAAGTATGTGTGCATAGACACCCTCCCGCGAACTTTGCATGCGGCGAATATCGGCAACCCTGAAACCAAACGCGTTTTCATCTCTTTGGGGCCGCATCCTTTCATTTCCGCCGCCTTCCGCCGGCCTTCCGCCGGCGGATGGCGGCCTCGTTTTACTTCCGCCGACCTGCCGCCGCCCGTCCGCCGCCTTCCGCCGAGAAAGAGATGGCAGCTCCCTGTATCCTCGACGGCAAGGCCCTGGTCGAAGCGCCCCAAATGCACGGACACCATCCTGCGAACTGTTGTATGTACCTTCGGGGAGGGCGGCGGGGTATGTAGTCGCTGGCCCCCAGTGGTGTTTTACACACCGCCACCCTCCCCGGAGGCCCAGGAGCAATCCATTAGAGGGTGTCTGTGTATGTTTTTGAGGAGCAAACAAAGAAGAGGATGTCTATAGGGCGCATAATGTTGATTCCCGTGTTTTCCGTTTGACGCTGTGCCGCTTTAAGGCGCATTGTGCTGGTTCCCGTGTTGTCCGTTTAAAGCTGTGCCACTTTGTCGGGCCGTCTCCGACAATCTTGGAGCCCTGTTGGGCAGTCTTCGGGGCATGGGGCGTCTCCGACCATCTCGCGGGAAGGCAGTCTTGGGGTCCTCATAGGGGCCTCGGGGGGCTTCCTGGAGACCTCTTGGAGGCTTATTGGGGCCTCTTGGGGGCCTCTCGGGGCCTCCTGGGGGGTTCTTTGGGCGGAGAGCCCAAAATGTCGGTCCCTGCCCCCCCTCTGGGGCCCCTCTTGGGGCGACGAGGGCCTCCCAGGAGGCGCAACAAGGGGAAAACGAGGGAAGGGTAGCGGTATGGGTACCTTTTCCTCCTTCGTTGGCCCGTCTGGCCAGCAAGCGGCAACGATGACTCGAAGGACGCGTCCTGTACGCGCACGCTACTGCGACTACGGGTAGGGGCAAGGAGGCGGCCGGCCGCCTTGCCTGGGGCAAGGCGAACAGCCCGCACGGAAAACAAACAGAAAACGGGATCCTTGGATGCTGATCGCTCGAGGCACCGTGAAGTGTCCATCCCGCAGGCATGTTGGAGCATTATTGAAACTTCTTCGGGCCTTCGGGAGCCTTCTTCGGCTCTCGCCGGGCCCTCTTGGAGGCATCTTGGGGCCCTTTTCGGGTGTTTTGATTGCCTCATTGGCCCCCTTGGGGCGGCTTGGGGCCCCCTCTGGAGCACTCTTGGGCTTTTCGGGGAGGATTTGTGGAGCCTCTTCGGGCACTCGTGGCCGCCTGGTTAGGGAGCCTCTCGAAGACCTCTAGGCCATGTTGGGCACCCCGAAAAATCGCAAGAAACACACAACATGCCCCTTGGCCTTTCGTCTCCCCTCCTTCCAAACCCAGGCGAACCAGTTGCCAGCATTAGTGGGCGTACCCCATGACGGATGAAATCGCAAATAGCGCAACCCCTTGCGCAAACAACATAAGTGGCATACGCGTTGCAGTCAGCGCAAAGTATAAGCAAGGCAACACCCTTGGACGCGGTATGAAGGAGAAACGCGAAGGAAAAGGAAGGCCGAGAGAAGGAAACCAACAGATCAGGGGAAGTCGTGTGGGCGAAAATGACGACGGCTACACACATAGAAAGAGAGAGAGAGAGAGAGACAACACAAAGAAAGAGAGAAAGAGAGAGGGGAAGAGAGAGAGAGAGGGGCAGTGACAGACAGAGAGCGAGAGGGAGAGATAAAGAGAGAGCGAGCGAGAGAGAGAGAGAGAGACAGAAAGACAAATAGAAAGGTACGAGTAGCAGCCGCTCTGCGGTTGATCGGGCGGCTGTGTAGTGTGTATATATATATATACATACATACATACATACATACATACATACATACATACATACATACATACACATATATATGTGTGTATATAAGGGCGCGCGGAGGCGGGGGTGCGGCGGGTGACGATGAGAAGGATGAGGATCATCATGCAAGGCAAGGCTCGCGAGGGGGAGGCTCAGGGGAGTGAGAGTCACGCGGCTCAGGAGCAGGCGGGCGCGGAGCAGGAGCGTGAGGATGTGGAGAATGAGGGCCAAGAGAGCGAGGATGAGAAGAATGAAGATCAGCAAGGGGGGAGGATCGGGCGAGTTTGGAGCAGGAGAGGATCAGCAGAGTGAGGATCGGCAGAGCGAGCATCACGAGGAGAGCGAGGATCAGGAGAATGAGAATGAGCATGTGGAGGGCGAGGATCAGGACCGTGAGGCAGGAGGGTGGGGGTGAGGAGAGCGAGAATCAGGAGAGTGAGGATCATAAGGGTGAGGATCAGAAGGACGAGGGCCATGAGGGGGGCCATCAAGAGGGTGAGGATCAGCATTGTGAGGAGCTACCTTATCACTCCTCCTCCTCCTCCTCCTCCTCCTTCTCCTCCTCCTCCATTGACCCTGACCCTGGCCTTCTCCTCCTCCTCCTCCTCCTCCTCCTCCTCCTCCTCCTCCTCCTCCTAATCTTCTTCCTCCTTCTCCAACTGCTGGGGGCCTCCGTCGGCGTGCGAGTTGGCGACTCTGTGAAGATGCCTCGAGCGAGAGCCCCAGACTGGGACACGCCCGGCGCGCCTGGTGCGCTCCCTGGAAATGGTCCCCGGGGGGGGGGGGGGAGAAGGAAGGAAGCCGGGGCTGGCTTTCTCACGCGCCGGGGGTTAGGCTGGCGTGAGTTCCACAAAAACTTCCTCAAATAAACAAGGAGGAAGAGAAAGAGAGAAAGATAGAGAGAGAGAAGAAAAAAAACAAGAGAGAGAGAGAGAGAAAGAGAGAAAGAGAGAGCGGGAGAGAGCAACAAAGAGGGGGAGAGAGAGCCAGATAGAGAGGTGCATACATTATGTGTGTAGATCATATACACATGTCTACCCATGCGGCCACCCTTACACATGTCTATGCATACATGTCCAGGTGTATGTGCTTATATATATATGTGTGTATATATATAGCTATAGCTATATCATATAGATGTACAGCGTGCATGTATAGATATAAAGAGAGAAAGAGAGAAAGAGAGAGAGAGAGAGAAACAAAAAAGAGAGAGAGAGAGAGAGAGAGAGAGAATGAGAGAGGCAAACAAAAAAAAAACGTCACCGCGAGGGGGAGGGGGGCCTTCCGACGAGAGGCCGCGGGGCCCTCCCGGGGCGTCCTCGGGCCCTCCCCGGGGGGCCTCCCGGGGGGCCGCCCGTGGGGCGCGCCCCGTGGGGGCCCCCCTCGGGCCGCCCGCGGAGCGCCCGGGGGGCCGAGCGGGAAGGCCCCGATCATTTAACACACGCCCTCCGCCGCCCTCCCCTCCCCCTCCTCCTCCTCCTCCTCCTCCTCCTCTCCTCCTCCTCCCCTCCTCCCTCCTCCTCCTCCCTCCCTCCTCCTCCTCCTCCTCCTCCTCCTCCCTCCTCCTCCTCCTCCTCCTCCTCCTCCTCCTCCTCCTCCTCCTCCTCCTCCAAACACCCTTCAAACACCCTAGGAGTGGGACGCACGGGGACATGCTGATCCCACCAGCCCTCTGGGCGTCGGTGGTTAGGAGAGTTTACTCTTCCACCCCATCCAAGATGGCTCAAGATATCCCAAGATGTCTCACAATGGCTTCCTCTGTGTGCTGGCCACTTCCCTCATCGAGGCAATTCCTCTGGGCATCGTTTCTGGATGGGCATCGTTTCTGGATGGGCTGGTGGGGATTCGCGAGCGCCGGGGAGCCGAACGAGAAAGCCCCAATCCTTCAAACACACTACTCTAGGTCTCTCGATAAGCGTGGGGGGGCTCTGTCCTTCGGGGGGCGTGGGGAGGTTGGGGAGCGAGAGGGGGTGGGTGTGGGGCGCGTGGGGGAGTGGGCAAGGGGCGTCGGGCAGGTTGGCACGGGGGGGGGTGCTTATTGAAGGATCTGGGGTAGAGTGGGACGCACGGAGACATACTAACACTGTATGTCCTCCTTGGAGGCGCGAGCCCGACCCAAACATGTAGCACACCCATCTTGTAGCACATCGTTTCCCGAGCGGTGTGGCCAGAAAGCGGCCGCCACGACGCATCCACTGTAAGATTTATCCGTGCGCGCATCGCCCCCGGCGGGGCAACGCACATATAGTATAAGTATGTTGGGGTGACGCCGATAGAGAAATCAGTCAATGAGGAGCCGAACTCTACACGCCGACGGTCGTTCTGGCCCCGCACTGAACATTCGCACCGGAAAGCAGATCCTCGTGTAGACGGGATCCGTGTGTATGCATGTTGCGTCGTTCCCCCGGGAAAGCGGGAAGAAACATTACACCACACCACCCCGACGTCGTCCCCGACCCTCCAAAGCCCTGAGATTGAAAAACAGTCCGCCGCTGGTGATGCGTATGCTCCAGTTTCCCACTTGCTCCTGCTCTACAACGTCCAGTGCTACGTATAGACATGGACATAGCTCTACCACCATGCCGACCATAGACATGTCTAGCACTATGTAAGCATATACGTGACCATGGACGTTCTTCCTCCCTCCTCCTCCTCCTCCTCCTCCTACCACTATAGCCATGCCTGCTCGACAACGACCAGGGCCACGTATAGAGTCACTTCCAGAGGAGCTCCAGCCCCGCTGGGCCTCCCGGGGCGAGGTGGCGACGGCTGCGCTGCTGGACCACCCGGGGAGCCGACGTCCATGTCTCTGTCGCATTCTCGGGGGGCCATGTCTGTCCCGTCGCTGCCCTATCCGCATCGAACCCCGGTTGAAACCATGTCGGCATCGTCGGATCCTTGTCGAAGCCGTGTCGAATCCAAGCCAAATCCGCGTCAAGTCCGAGACACCAACGTTGGGGACAGGCGAGAATCCCCGAAGATGAAGCGTAATCTGCTGCACCTCCAGGGAACACACGAAAATGGCAACATCTGCGCACTTGGCAACACACAAGGACGCCGTGGTCTACTACGGGTCCCTTTTACTCCATACCCCTCTGGACATCCGACCTACCAGGAGCTCTTGAAAGCGGCTGCAATTCGCAAAAGATAATGAGGCGAGGTCTACTCTAGACCCCCTTTTCACCGCAACCCGCTCACCTCCCAGGGGGCCACGAAAGTGGCGACGGTTGCGCAGGCAGCTGGCAGCACTCATCGAGGCGAGGCCAACTTCTCGATCCCCTCAACAACGCACTCCGCTGGACCTCCCAGGAGCTTCAGAAGTGGCGACAGTCGCACAGTTGGCTGCACCCAGGGGGCGAGGTCAAATTCTGGATCCCCTTACTCCGCACTCCCCTGGACCTCCCAGGAGGTCACGAATGTGGCGACAGTTGAGCAGTTCGCAGCACTCATGGAGGCGAGGTCTGGCTTGGCGAGGTCTAGTTTGCATATATGCTGCTCCGCACTCCCCTACTCTAAGACATTCCAAGAGCTCACGAACGTGGCGACAGCTGCGCAGCTGGTACACCAAAGGAAGCCGAAGTCTACTTTGGGTCCGTTTTAGCTCCGCACTCCTCTTGGCCTCCCAGGAGCTCAGACAGTGAGGACACTTGCACAGTTCGCGCCCCCCCCGCCAAGGAGGCGAGGTCCAGTTTGGATCCCCGCAGCCCCGCACTCCGAAGGACCTCCCAGTAGCACGAAGGTGATGAATGATGCGGAGTTGGCCGCACCCTCCCTCCCCCGCCCCCCCGCCGAGCGAGCCAGGTCTACTTTGGACCGCTTCTGCTCCGTACTCCTCTGGACCTCTCACGAGGTCACGGAAGTGGCGGCATTGGGGCAGTTGCGCAGCCCCCCCTCCCGAGGCGAGGTCTGCTGTGAACCGCTGTAGCTCGGCACTCCGGTGGACCTCCCATGAGTTCACGAACGCGGCGACACTTGCGCAGTGTGCAGCCCCCTCCTTGGAAGGCGAGGTCTGGCTTTGATCCCATTGGCTCCGCACCCCGCTGGACCTCCCAGGAGCTCACGAACGTGGCGACGGCTGCGCAGATAGCACACCCCCATCGAGGCGAGGCCTACTATGGACCCCTCTGGCTCCACACTCCGCGGGACCTCCCAGGATCCGACGAAAAAGGCTGAGATCATGTATGCTGCAATTTCTAGTGAAGGCTGGACGCGGGAGGACGCCGGAGAGAAGGGAAGAGAAACGGAAGCACCCGAGCTCTGTTCAAAACGAATACCCAACGCACGAGAGCTCGGGAAAATAACAGCAGGAAACAAACCGTACTCCGACATTGGTGAGCCCCAGTGCGGAATGCGCCAGGCGATTTCGGGACGCAGCGCGGCAGCGCGCGTCTTAGCACATGTCCTGAATCAAGCCGACCCTAGTCACCCTTGAACTTATTCACCAAGTCGACCCTATCGAACAAATCCACTGTGCTTGGGGAAACGAGCCATGCTGGAAATTCTGATCTGTAGTTCGCCCGTCCGAACAGCAAAGGGAAGGTGTCCATCATGGCCTGGTCGTGGTGGTGGCCATCGTACACGGCTCCCCAACTAGTCGCAAAGGTGATGTCCCTCCACTCGCGGTACCAACGGGCGGAAAACTGTTTCAGCACGTCCTTCCGCACAGCGAGCATGCCTTCGCCATACGCTTCGTGGATGAAAGGGAGCGGCTGCGGCAACTGGCGCAGCGCAAAACTGAGATCGGCTGGGCCTTTGCTCGCGGTAACCCGTGACGAAACCAGATACAGAGGAACACTGCCGTTTTTGTAATTACTCGCGGTGATTGTGGCCCCCTTGGCACTGGACTCGCAAAATCCATGATAGAGCGGAAAATCTCTCCATGATGGGTCGCACCGTAGCTGCAGGTACCGCCGGTCATACTCCCACGGATAGGACACCGATCCATGAGTACCATTCCGCGCTTGGTCCACCATGAATTTTATCATCGCTTCTCGAACGTCCACGTGGCAATTCACACCGTTGGTCTTGGTAAAAATTTCAACGTCTGCGAAGGACGTGGCTTTGCGCGCCAGATGCCACACGTAAGCATGCTCGTTTCGCCCAACATTGGGAATAGCGATCATCTCCAGACGGTCGCTTACTCTCAACACCTGCTCACCGCTAAGACCCTCCGTTTTGACGTACGCAGAGAGCGACACGTCATTACCCCATCTTCCATCAATGATGTCGTAGCACCACTGCGGGAGCGTTTGGTTAGTCACGCTAATCACCACATTTATGGTCGTTACCATTTTTTGACTCGGCGCTCTCCTTTCCAGGGAAAACCAATCCTTCGAGGGGAACCAGTTTGGGCCGTCCAAATTGTTATATCCATGAGCTGCACCGAACGCCAGGTCAAACGTCTCCAGAAATTCAGTCTGGTTTGCCCACAATGGGTCCACTTCGAATGGCTTCCCCCAAAGAGGGTCCGCGCACCCCTGCTCTAAGACAGTCGGTGAATACTTACCAGGAGACAATGACAAGGTGCATGGTGCACAAAATATGCAAGCAACCAGACATGTGTTTAATGATAACATACGCAACAACTGAAGTGAAAGGTTCGATGCGTACGAGTCCCGCGATGGCCTAGCGGCTCTGGAACCAAGTGCGTGCTCGGCCAAGATCTCTGGCCAGCACGGCTGCCGGGAGAACGAGGAGCAGAAAAGGGATACGGAGTAGGGGAGCAAAGCCCTCAGAGGGCGTTGGGGACAAGGCATTGAAAAAAAGATGCAAGGAAAAAACGGAAGGGAAACAAAACAAAGTGTCGACGCCGGAATCCCCATATGTGCATCTCTGTTCCCAACGTTTGAATGTTAATGGAGATGGGCATGGCTGGGGAAGTACGGGTAGCTTTGAGTATGAGTCGGTCCAGGAATGAGCAAGTGCTAGCACAAATGAATCAGAACATGGGGGTCGGAATCCGATTGGGCTTGAGTGGGTGACTGAGTATGAACGAGCGGCTCAAATGCGAACGAGTCAGAGTTTTAGTGGCCCAGCGTGAACGGCTGAGTACGAGTGGGTCTGTATGTGAGCGGGTCAGAATGGGAGTGATGCCTGGTAACTGACGGCCACATAATTAAGTACGAATGGTTCTGGGTAACAGAATCTGAGTATGCTTGGGACTATGAGGAAGTGGGTCTGAGTGTGAGTGAATCTGAAGTTGAGCGACTCTGATTATGAGTGCCTCCGCATGAGTACAAACAGGTACATAGAACACGCGTAACCCTCGGTGAAGACCTGCAACAGATGCCTGCCAGCAAGTACGTCCTCCTCCTCCTCCTCCTCCTCGAGCTGCACCCCTCCATCCTTCTCCTCGTCGTCCTCTTCCTCCTCCTCCTCCTCGTCCTCCTCCTCCTCGTCCTCCTCCTCCACCACCTTCGCCTACGCCGAAGGGCCAGGGTTTTTTCTTCTTGAAGACTAGTTTTGCGTCGCGGGTTCTTTGTTGATTGTCCCAGAGCACGAAGCAGATCTTCGAAGGGGAAGAAACGCCAGACGTGCTGCGTTCACATGGCAATCAACTGGCTTATAGCCTTGTCCGCCCATTTCTCGCCCAAGCTGAATTCCTGAAATCATCGCGACTTCAATGCCAAAAGGTTTCCCCCGAGGACAGGAGGGAAAGGGTCCGTGATCCAACAATTTCGTTTTTACCTCTCACACGCATGGTCGAGCAACGACCCACAACAGAAAGTATGACCCCTCTGTCGCGAAGAACGCGAGCATGCGACGGAGGAAGCGGACGCGAAGGGCCAACATCAGAAAGGCCCATCATACCATACGTGGGCTTGGAGGCCGCATCAGGTGATACTGACAGCAATCCCACGAGCCCTTTGAGCGACAGGTGGTCTAAGGAGGATCTCTTTCCTCTTCCACGACCCCTCTTCCCTTCGAGGAGGGGGACCCTCCCCCTCCCCTCCCTGTTTTTTTGTTTGAAGGATCGCGAGGTGTCGGAGGCTCCATTTTCGGCCATTGGGAAGGCCATGTTTTGCCACCCCTCTCGAGGATCGTGGCCCCGAGGGGGGACCTAACTCGAGTACCCCTCCTCGTTTGACCGATCGCCTCCGAGATGGCCCCAAGAGGCCCTCCAGGGCCCCCCAGAGCCCCCAAGAGGGTTCCACTAGCGCCCCAAGAGCCCCAAGAGGGCTCCAAGAGGCCCCCGAGAAGCCTCCAAGAGGCCCCCGGATGGCCCCCAAGCGGCCTCAGAGAGCCCAAAATGACCTCCAAGATGGCTCAAGATGGTCCCAAGATGCCCCAAGACTACTCCAAGACGGCTCGAGATGGCAACGGAGCCTCCCCATGATGCCGCCGAGATGTCCGACTCCTGCAAAAGCGTACCGAAAATGCATGAATTTGGCCTTTCCGCCTATTTGCTTACGATGGCCTTCCGGAGCCTCAAGATGGCTCCAAGATGGCCCAAGGGGGCCCCAAGAAAAACCCACGAGAGGCCCAAAACGGCCCCGAGAGCACCGAATAGCGCCCCAAGAGCGCCCCAAGAGGGGCCCACGAGGCAATTTTAAACACTCTCGAGAGGCGACGCTACTTGAAGCTCCCCCTTCTTTGATCGATCTCCTCCCAGATGGACCCATAGCGCCCCCAAGGCTCCCAAGAGCGCCCCAAGAGGGCCCCAAGACCGCTCAAAGACGGCTCCGAGTGGCCAATATAGCCAAGATGGCCACTGCGAGGGTCAGTTTTGGCATACCCCTCACACGGATCGTAGCCCCCGAGGGGGGGACACACATCGAACCCCCCAGTCGTTTGACCGACCGCCTCCAAGATGGCCCCAAGAGTCCCGCCAGGGCCCCCCAGAGCCCCCAAGAGGGTTCCACTAGCGCCCCAAGAGGGCTCCAAGATGCCCCCGAGAAGCCTCCAAGAGGCCCCCGAATGGCCCCCAAGCGGCCTCAGGGAGCCCAAGATGACCTCCAAGATGGCTCAAGATAGCCCAAGCTGGCTCAAGATGGTCCCAAGATGCCCCAAGAGGCCCCTAGACCACTCCAAGACGGCTCGAGATGGCAACGGAGCCTCCCCAGGATGCCGCCGAGATGCCCAACTCCTTCAAAAACGTACCTTCCCGCCTATTTGCTTAAGATGGCCTTCCGGGGCCTCAAGATGGCTCCAAGATGGCCCAAGAGGACCCCAAGAAAAAAACACGAGAGGCCCAAAACGGCCCCAAGAGCGCCGAATAGCGCCCCAAGAGCGCCCCAAGAGGGGCCCACGAGGCAATCTTAGGCACTCCCGAGAGGCGACGCTACTTGAAGCTCCCCCTCCCAGGGCCCCCAAGAGGCCCAAAAGAGGGATCCAAGAGCGCCCCAAGAGGCCCCAAGAGGGCTCCAAGAGGCACCCGAGAGGCACCCAAGAGGCCCCCGAGCGGCCTCAGAGAGTCCAAGATGACCTCCAAAGTGGTTCAGAAAGCCCGAGTTGGCTCAAGATGGCTCCCAATATGCTCCAAGCGGCCCCAAGCCCGCTCCAAGACGGCTCGAAGTGGCCACGGGGCCTCCCAAGCCTCCCTCGCTGTTTGACTATGCGTGTCTCTTCCTCTCTCCCCCCGTCAACTCTCATGGGCATCGATCCTGGATGGGATGGTGGGGATTTTTGTCCGCGGGCGCGAGAAGCAGGTCGAACGCCGAGCAAGCTAGAGTGGGCCGCGCTCCGTAGCTAACGGAAAAACGGAGAGGCGAACAGCGTCGAGCTCAGAGCGAGACGGGGCTCAACGCTGCCAAAATGGCGCGGATGGCACCACAAAGCGGCACCGGGATCACGTCCACTGAGGCGCCGATAAAAAGAAAAGGATATTTTTTGGTCGCGGCCACGAGCGAAACGGCAGGCGGCGGGCAGGGTGCCCGGGCCAACGGGCAAGCCCAATTAGCTACAAGAGGCGCACTAGCCGGCCGGCCCACCCACAAAACAGGTAGGGATATGTTTTGGTCGGCGGCTCCTTGGCGAAGGTCAAGAAGCGGGGCAACGTTCGGGGCGCGGAAAGAAGATAATTACAGGTAGGGATAATTTTCATTCGCGGCCCGCAAGGAAAAGTCCAGAGGGCGGTGCGAACGAGGCTGAGTCACAGCGCGCGGGAAGGCAGATAATTAACGGCGCAGCACAAGTGCCGGCCGAGAAGAAGCAGCTGAGCATGTGCCAGCAGCAGAGAATTAACAACGCTGAACGTGTGCCAGCGAAGGACGCAAATGGGAAGAACCAGCCGCTGAGCGTGTGCCAACGAGGGTGGGGAGGGCGGAAAGGTCGGACCCGCAGGTGGGGCCAGACTGCCAGGCGGAAGGTGCCAAAACCACTCACTCACTTGGAACGTCGGCCAGACTGTACGCCGCTGAGGGGGGTTCGGGCCAATGCCTGGAGATGGCCGACCACAAAGGAGGGCGCCCGCGATGGCCCCTGGTACCAAGGCGGTGTGCGGCTTGCGCATTCCGCAGCACTCCTGTGCCTGTAGCCGACGTCCAACACAAGCGCCAAAACGGTGCCTGACCGACGTCCTTGTCCGCCGGTGTCGACAAGCGGCCGACCGTACTGTCAACACGCCCATGCGAAAAGGGGGGTCAGAAGCCGCCGTCCCAACGGGTGACGAAGTGGAAGCCACTGCATGTTGCCGACTCCACAGGATGGGCACCCGGAATGGCTGAGGCCAGCGTCCGGTGTGTCCCGGCCCGCGTACGTCGCGGGCAAAATACAGGTAGGGATACGCGGAACGTCAAGAATTGCAATAACTCCCCAGGTTTGTCGCGTGACTTCTGGGTGCCCCGCATGACATGTCAGGCGTAGCCCTAATAATGTTTTCGGGCGTGGCTCTACTCCTCTGTATCAAGGAACTGCACCGGCACCGGTCTGGTCGCACGCGTTAGGCGGCCATTGAAATCTTGTCCGCCGAGTGCGCGACCTGTGACGAGACTCATAACAAACAGTTTTCTTCTCGGTCGCCGAATGCGCACCCTATGGCGAAGCCCGTTTCCAGAGCGCGTTCTGGCCAGAACTTCGAATCGAAATCTGGCAGTGGCGACGTGTGTGCACCCTGGGGGTCAGAACTATGAGATGGGTCGGAGGCGGAGGCAACAGGAGAAAACAAGACGGGATAGCAAGATCATATTGCTTTGGTGAGTTGTTCACCGCGGATACGGTCAATATCATATTGATCTGGTGAGCTGTTCCCCGCGATTGCGGTTCATATTGTCTTGGGCTAGCGATTTGTTCCCCCCGCCCCTATTCAATATGGTAGGCCGATTTCGCACCACCACCACTGCCATAGGTAGGAGTGGGAGGAGGAGAAGGAAAAGACGTAGGAGGAGCAGGAGTCGGAATATGAGTATGAGTAGGAGTAGGAGTAATAAAAAAAGCGGCAGGAGTAGTAGCAGCAGCAGCAGTAGTAGTAAGAGTAGTCGTAGTGGTAGTGGTAGTAGTAGTAGTAGTAGTAGTAGTAGTAGTAGTAGTAGTAGTAGTAGTAGTAGTAGTAGTAGTAGTAGTAGTAGTAGTAGTAAGTAGTAGTAGTAGTAGTAGTAGTAGTAGTAGTAGTAGTAGTAGTAGTAGTAGTAGTAGTAGTAGTAGTAGTAGTAGTAGTAGTAGTAGTAGTAGTAGTAGTAGTCGTAGTCGTAGTAGTAGTAGTAGTAGTAAGTAGTAGTAGTAGTAGTAGTAGTAGTAGTAGTA